TGGAAGTTGTGTGGATTAGATCGAATGGGTATGGGGCCAGAGACAAACTACCCAAGCTAGGAGCTACGAATGACCGGATCATTTTTCCTAAAAAGCGCCGCTGCGACAGGATAAATAAACATACGCAATGCACAATGATATCTAATATTTCACTTTACATTGCTTGGCGACTTTGTCAATGTTACGTGCGTCGCGTATTATGGTAGAACAAAAGTAGCAATGGTAATTATACAATACGAAAAGTAATAAATGAAAGTTTAGAAAGGTAAATATTATAGTAAATATTCATCTAGACGTAAATTAGTTAAAACAAAGATAATTAGTAAATAATCAACTTACCGCTGAAATGATTTGCCTTTATTAGATGAATTACACGTCCTTGATGAGTTTTTACAACTGATTATGTTGCAGTTTATAATAACATAAATTAACGTACGACGTTCCCGCGCAACGAAATCACAAAATGGTGAATGATATTCGTCAACACATCATGGCGCGTCTATGCGACTTCTATTGTCTTATTATTACGATTTCTGTGCTTTTGATCATGTACTAATGTAAGGTTCAATAAAGTTTAAATAAATAAATAAATCTTTCCAACACAGCTTTATGCCCGTTCAGATTACATGAACCAAGACTGCATTTTGTAAACTCTCAGGTGAAATCTATGTTTCAAAGCCTTTTGTTACATAAATCACGGTAATTATCTATTTGAGATTACGTGGTATGCTTGGGGCACTACTTTGGGCCTTACTACAAGAAACAAAAACGTCCTCTGTGACATTCACATTAACAACGGATTGTGCAGCTGACATTAACACAACGCAACCATCAAGCTACCGTCTGCATCCGTGCACCTCACTCACAAACGTGTAGGTGTCAGACTGTAAGATAGCTTTTCTACGTCGGTACAAACCCATGATGATCAGAGCAGAAATTGTTGAGTTCTTTAAAGAACAGCTCATTTGGATGAGGATGAGCATTTAAATCACCTAAGACAAATATACTTTCAACATCTCTGCTCGCTACAATTGTACTTATTTCACCTAACATCTCACCAAAAATTGGAAAGTTATCCAAGTAATCGTCGTCCAATAAGACGCCCGAAAATAACTACTACCCCGTAAGGTCTCCTAACTAATAAACCCGCAGTCGTGTCCACAGCAGACTTACCGCTATATTCAAAATGTTTAAATTTAGTTCCTAACATTGATATATCATGGGGCAGCAGCCACGTTTCCTGAAGAGCAACGTTTCCTGAGCTACTACATCGGAAACTTCACAAATATCACGGATGTCATCTAACGAACGTTTAGTCAATTTACTTTATTGAAACTAACAAATTTAAGATCACACTTAGGGCCTGAAGACATCACAAATTATTATTAACTATGTAACTTTAACTAAGTTTTCTGACTTCGTTTTGTACATAAAGCGTATAAAACGCCTGAAAGTAATACGATTAGGCCAAAAGTAATCATCTAGAAATAAATTTAATTTACTTTTTAACTTTTTCATATTTATTATTTTTAAAGATTTACAATTTCACTTGTTTTATCCCTGACATCAGTGACAATACCATATTCACTTGTATCCTTACTGACATTCGAAATTAAAATCGGCACTTTTATATCAGGTCAGCCGTCCGGATCAGTCACAGCACAGCCTCTTTAAAACTGATCGGCAGTTTATAACGCTTGGCCGATTTATTTGTCACCACCTGTCACTCCAAATTACTGTTCACGCGACGGTCGAGTGTTGAACTATTATATGGGTTAACGTTTTACGGGTTTAGCCAAGCGTAATCTATCTTGTGGTAAAAATGTTATTTACAAAATAGTAAAAGAGATACGCTCAGAGCATTTAGAATAAAAAATATCTTTTGTCTCTCAGAATTTGACAATCTGTGCACGATATAATAACAACCGTTATGCTATAGGTATCAGTTCATACTTTATCCTGCACTTTTTTTCTAATAAAGACATTACTAATATTCCTTTAACACCTTCTTGTAAGCTTACAATGCTTGTGTTAGAAGTGGTTCACGACAGTAGTCGAGTGCTTTTTAAGACAACAGTATCTAGTTACGGCTCTTGCCAGAATGCGCAATTTATTTTTAATTAATCCCAGGGCTTCTGAAGCAATTTTTTTTATTTTTTTATTTAAAAAAAGAATATTAACAATGCTATAAACATTACTAATATTCCCCTTAACCACTCGTGGTAAGCTTAAATTGCTTGTGTTACGAATGGTTCACGCCAATAGTCGAATGGCGGATTCGAACCCACGACCTTTTTGAGTTCGCGGTCCGCGCCTTGCCATTACGCTACTGTCGCTTGCGATCAAAACACCGGATTAAGGTTTTAGAATGTTTTAAGCCTGGTGTGTCAGACCAGATCTTAAGTGATTTATTGTGATAAAGACTTTAAAGGATCAATCGGGCTAGGCTTCTTGAGATTCCACAAGATGGCTCAGGTCCATATTGTGTACCCTTTGAGCCCTCCCGTGCAAGTTTGTCGGCAAATTCATTGCCTACAATGCGTGACCCGGAACCCATCTTATGACAACTCTGTTGTTACATCCCAGGGCGTTTAAACGGTTCACGCAGTCTTCAACTAGCTTCGAGTTCATTAAGTTTGACCTTAGCGCTAGCAGTGCTGCTTGACTATCAGAGTTAATATAAATTATATGGTTGACGTAGTGTTTTTGCAGATTGATTTCCGCACACTGAAGTATGGCGAAAATTACTGCCTGGAAGATAGAGGAACCTACCCAAATTCATACTAAGTTTGAATTTAGGGCGTCCCTGTAAATTCCAAAGCCTACGTCGAAGCCCATTTAGACCCATCGGTATACCATATGAGGCTACCGACCTCAGAGGTAACCTGGCCATTCAGCCAGTTCTCTGGAGGGTAGTTCCACTATATTCTTTTTAACAAAAGTGTATAGTGTACGCATGATATCTGAGATCATGCATAAGACCGGTGTTTCCTTAATTGGGTCGAGCATGGATCTCAATCTGTAGGAGAGCAAGAACCTGTAAAAGAAAAGAAGACCACCCTGGGCGTTAATCCTATACAAACTAGCCTTCGCCTACTTATCTAGATAAAGATCAAGGGGTGCGTAGCTTAGAAGTGCATTAAGAGCCGTTCCAGGCGATGATCGCATAGCTCCAGTTGCCATTAAGCAGGCCGTCCTTTGTAGACTATTTAGTCTGTCCGCAGTCGTCTTTTGTAGGTGAAAATAGGCCTCACTATGCTGCTGTACAGCCATATGACCATACTGGGACGCAAGCCCTAGTTCCCGACCAAACGACTGCACGTACCTAAAGAAATTTTTGCCTTATGGCATACGTTGCTAAGGTGAGAGTTCCACGTTAGTTTTTGCTCGATTGTTACGCCCAAGTACTTAACTTCAGTGGGAAATGGCACTTCTTTACCATTGAGTTTTGGTGTGACTAATTTGTCCAACTGTCTCTTTTTAGTAATGGGTATAACAGTTTTATCAGCATTAACTGATAAACTGTTATCCCTACACCAGTTATTTATGGTGTTTAGGGCTCTTTGTATGATTGACGATAAAGTACTTAGGCAAAAGCCCGTTGCAATGATCACAAGGTCATCACCGTGACCCGGTGTGTCAATGCGTAGGTCTGCCATCTTGTACAATTGTTGGTCAACCGCAAGAGTCCAAAGAAGGGGTGACAAAACACCTCCTTTTGGGCAGCATCTTGTAGTTGCAACCGCAATCGAAGTTTAAAACAGCGCTATTTGTGCCTTTCTGTTTGAGATCATCGACTTCACCCATCTGATGGTTGTGAGGCCAACATTTTTAGATGCCAGGCCCGCAATCAGCAGTGATCTGGGGCTACTTTCGAAGGCACCCTCAATATCTAGAAAGGCACAAAGAGCTATTTCTTTATCCTCCAGCGCTTTTTCGACTCTGTCAATGACACTGATTAGGGCTGTTTCCGTAGATTTGCCTCTGCGATAAGCATGCTAGTTGTAATGTATGGGCCCCGTAGCTAGAGCTACATCCCTAATATATCTATCTATAACCTTTTTCAATGTCTTAAGAAGAAAGGAAAATAGGCTTATCGGTCTAAAGGTCTTTGTTAAAGCTTTGTTCTTTCTATCAGCAAAGCTCGGTCGCAAAGATTATGTTAAATAACTTATTTTTCCAAACACTCCAAATTAACAGTATATTCAGGTTTTTATTTAAAGTGAGTTATTTATAAATGTTTGCTTGGCCACGCATGACGTAACCTACTATACCTAATTTTTCCACTAGCAACTCATTTCACCCAGTCATTAACAAGCTGAAATACTGCAAAACGCTATCTCGAACGCAGACGGTGGCATTGCTAATTTGTCTATGTTTAGTGTTGCCAATTTAGCATATTATATGCTAAATTTGACATATTTTCTTCTTGTTTAGCATATTTTTTTTGCTTTTAGCATATAGCATATTATTTCAGCATATTCTTATAAAACATGAAAAGAATGTAAATTACAATCTTTCTTGAAATAAAATTTGATATCGATACCTACCTCAATCAATTTCCCACTTCACTACTAGTGATTCACTAGCATGGCAACCCTTTTTTGAAGCGAATATAATATTCTCTGTGCTACGGGATTCCCCTTAGACATAGAGAATGGACTGAGCCCTTATTCAGGTATAAAGTAAATATGGACGAAGTACAAGAGAGACAAAGCGAATGTGCCGCCAGTTATTGTCTCTTTCTACGCCTTACCTGCGCCTTGCAGAAAATACACATGTATTGGCCGCGTATTCACTTTGTCTCTTTCTAGAGAGTGGTCAGTTTTGTGAGGGTGATGTCTATGGGATACAATTCCCTTACTATTATCCATTCCCCAGCGCCTACGTCGCTTTCTGTCAAAAACATTGTTTATTGTTGTGGATGTGGACTCACTCATATCGTCGTCTCGTCTTATCCGTGTTTTCGTGTTCCTTTTTTATAATTTGATATTTTTATTATGGTGCCTAAGTATAGTCAACATTACCGGGCAGACTGGGAGAAAATGGCAGACTTTAAAGAGTGGTTGCAGCCCGTTGAAAACGATACTTCGAAAGCGTACTGTAAGTATTGTAAATGCGAAATGATTGCAAAATTGTCTGTTTTGAGGCTACATATTTCATCAGCAAAGCACAGAAAAGCAATAGAGCCAATGAAGAGTCAAAAAAAAATTAACTTCCCTAAAGTAAAAAAAGATCTGAATACCCAGAAAGCAGAATCTTCGCTGGCTTTGTTTGTTTGCGAGCACTGTGCAATTATGGCTGTAGATCATTTATCGGAACTATGCAAATACCGATTTGTCGACAGCAAATACAGCGACATCAAGTTACATCGAACCAAATGCACGAATATTATTAAAAATGTTTTGGCACCACACTTCATTCAAGAAATTGTGACAGATTTAGGAGATCAGGAGTACAGTCTCTTAATCGATGAATCGACAGATATATTGGTACTTAAAATGCTTGGTGTTTCGATAAGATATTTCAGCCGATCATTAAAAAAGATAATTTCCACATTCTTGGGATTAGTTGAGATTGAAGACGGAACTGCAGTCAGCATAGTGAACGGCATTAAAGGATTGTTGGCAGAAATAAAAATAAATTTAAAGAAATTGATCGGTATCGGCACGGATAACACTTCGGTCATGACAGGAACTAACAGTGGAGTGCACGCATTGTTGAAAAATGCAACTGGTAATGACAATTTAGTGTTAGTCCGCTGCGTGTGTCATTCGTTACAGTTGGCTATGTCTCATGCTTCAGCAGAAACCCTACCAAGAAATGTTGAATTTCTTATAAGAGAAACCTATAACTGGTTTAGCCATTCATCAAACCGAAGACTCTTTTACAAAAACATGTTTCAAACGATCAACGGTGGCTCCATTCCATTGACAATTCCACAGATGTGCAATACCCGATGGATATCAATTGAACCAGCGGTCTGCCGTATTCTTGATCAATGGATAGAATTAAAAACCCTGTTTGAAATTGCCAGGCGAGATGAACACTGCAAAAAGTATACGGCAGAAATACTATATAACATGTATAATGATCCACAGAATCATTTGTACTTATTATACATAAGACCTATCTTACAGGAAGTTCAAGTGGTAAACAAGTTGTTTGAAAGTAACGATGTTGACCCAACAAGATTGTACAATGATTTGATTGGCTTAGTGGAATCGATAGGTCGGCGTATTCTGAACCCAACGGCAAGGGTAGATATTTTAACAGAAGACATAGAAAGCTATTTAGATCCGAAACCATACATGGGATATGCTTTTGAGACCAAATTACTTGAATACAATCTTCAGCCTAATGCAGCAAACTATTTACGCCAACGTTGTAATAATTTCACACTGAAACTTGTGACAGAACTACGTTCGAGATTACCGGTTAATTTTAAAATACTTCAGAAGATATCCATGTTTTCAGTTCAAGAGACTTTAAAAGTAGTTAAGCCATCCATTGTCGAAATAGCCCAAGAGTTCCGAGTTAATGCACCTATGATTGAAAAACTGGTATCTCAATGGAGAAATATAGTTCACATTAAATGGGAATCCTTGACTTCCACAGTAAAGTTCTGGAATGAAGTCATGCAATATAAAGATGCAGCTGATAATAACCCCTTTGCAGAGTTATGTGAGTTTGCAATGTCTCTTATATCATTGCCACATTCAAATGCGGACGTTGAACGTGTATTCAGCCAAATGAGTCTGGTAAAAACAAAACTCCGAAACCGTTTGGCGGTGAGAACCCTGAATGCCATTTTGTACGTTAGGTTCGGCCTAAAAAGAGCAGGAAAGTGCTGTTACTCTTACACTGTTCCAGACAATGTACTACGCAGTATCGGAACCAAAGAGTATTACGACTCCGGCTCTCAGCCTTCCACATCAGCTGATGTTGATGAAGATGAAGACCTTAATATTCTATTCCCTTGATTTAATTTCTCAATAAATACTGATACTTCTTAATTATGTTGGCATTTTTTTTGGCATTTTTTAGAGAAGGTAAGCATATTTTTGGCATATTTTTTACACCAGTCTAGCATATTTTGAAGTAGTTGAGTTGGCAACGCTATCTATGTTTTGGGTTTCAATGTATTTCAAGTAATTCGGTAAGTGAAAAGTAATGCCATCTATATGTTGAAAATTACCCATTATTCCAAAATTCCGGGCACTTTAGAAAGCAGATACAAACAACAGCAAAAAGTGTTAACAGTACAAGTTTATGTTAAATTAGAATTCTTATTTTGTTGATAAGCTAGGTATATACTGAAACTTTAAAATATTTTAGTAGGTATAAAATTATCGTAGCTTTATTGCTCCGTACGATATATAACGTAGCCAAACAAACGGCCATTGTAACTTATTATAGTGCAATCGGCCCATGTTCTTTTGTTAAACGAAATAAAACGTCCGAGTGATATTTATGGGCCATAGGTCTTTACTTCAATGACCATTTATTTAGGATCAACACGGTCCTGAAAGTACCATAAATGTTTCCAGGAAATTAATAACACCCCATTCATTGCTAACGTTTCGCTGTCTTAAAATTTAGGAGTGTTAAATATGTAAAAACAAATTCAATAAGATAAAAATAAAAAAATCTTCATGATTTAAATAATAAAGTAGGTACTAATCGAAGCGGTAGTGAATTTAAAGTGCAAGAGTGTAAAATGTTTTTAATTTTTATCTTTCAATTTAAATAAATCAAAAGTCCACTGTTAAACACATATAAATACTTAGTTGAAATATACTAAGCTTTTGTATAAGTAATGCACAATTTAATACCCCCATTCTCTAATTTCTCGGGGGAGCCTCACCCATAGAGAACTCGTCCCCAGGTGGCAGATAGGGGAATGCTCGGCAGATATGTCGGGTAGGTGGGAAATCAAATACCTCCCGCGGACCAACAGGCCGATGAAGGATACTCCGATATTAAACTCCTGCTGCAGGCTTCTCCAAAATAGTTGGAGCAGAGGCTGCGGTCAGTGCTGTGCGCCTCGGTTGGGACGTACAGAAGGGAAGGCAGCGGAAGAGCCTATTAAAGGCCAAAACCTCTAACTTCTTGTACATGATACAAACCAGTAATATGAGTAATTTCAATGCTAGGACGCCCCCTCGAGCGACGTTGATGTGATTAATGCGAATAATGCGACAAATGCTAGGGCGTACACCGGAATCGACGCTAAGGACAAGAATCAACGTTCGCATCCAAAAGACTTTGACAAGCTCAGACTCGCATAATGGAATCTCGGCACAATGACTGGACGTACCACTGAACTCAGTAATATTTTAAAAACCAGACAAACCAATGCCTGCTGCATCCGAGAAACCAAATGGAAAGGATCAAAGTCAAGGGATATTGAAAATGGTTACCAGCTTGTGTATCAAGTGACTAAGACTAAAAGAAACGGTATAGGCATCATGTTAGATAAACATCTTACGCAGAGATTAATTAATGTAGTGAGGAATAGTGATACCTATTGCTGTAAAACTAGCAATGGACGGACAACTGCCATTAAACATAGTCTCTGCGTACGCACCACAAGCTGATTGTTCCGAACAAGAGAAACAAGAGTTTTAGGAAGATGTCATGCAAAACATACCCCTAACCGAATATGTTTACTTATTCGGGGATCTGATAGGATATGTTGGAGAAGAGAACAACTTCTACAGTAAAGTCCATGGAGAATATGGTTATGGTGATACCAACCGACAAGAAAGTTTGCAGCTAAGCACTTACTAAAAATTAATACGGACTTTCAAAAGAAAACAGAACACCTTATAACCTATAAAAACTCAGTACATAGCACTCTGATAGACTACATCCTTGCCAATAGTAAGACATGCTTAAGCTCTATGAAGACTGCAAAGTGATCGCAGGTAATGCGCTTACATCTCAGCATAGACTTCTCGTCTCTGTTATGCGCCTGCCCGAATCTATAAGAACACACATAGATCGAACAGAGAGTATAAAATGGAAAAAACTGCACTGCCACAAAGAATCACAGCTCCTTGAATGGGTCCGCTCGTATGTACAAGGCAACGTAGCGTCCGATAAGTCAGCAAATCAGATGTGGTATGATTTCGAAAAACTGTGTCTAGAGAAAATTAAGGAAATCTTAGAGGTGGAACGAAGGCATCAAAGATTTAATAAGAGCAAAGAGAAAAGAAGATCAAGAAAGATCAAGAATAAAATCGTCTAGAATATAAAAGTCACAAGAAGATAGCTAAATCCGCAATATCACAATTCATTGCCAAATCTAGAAACGATTTCTATTATAAACTGGAAAACGCAGAAAATGAGAACACCGTCTATAAAATAGCTAAGCAGCGGCGCAAATGTACTCTCGATATTAAATCTAACAAATATACTAAAAACATCCAGGGTATAATCTTAACGACCAGCAAGGACGTTAATAGAAGATGGAAGGAGTACTACGAGCAAGTGATGAAAGACGAATTCCTCAGTAAGACATTGCCTTATATTCCACCTGCCGAAGGGCCTATTAAATGTATCTCAGCTGAGGAGGTGATGGAGGCCATAACATACTGCAGATATATGGAAGAAGTTAAAGGAAGCCGCACTACCTTGACTCACCAAGCTTTTAAACTGTATTATTAAAGGAGGTAGAATCCCAGAATCCTGGCGTAATAGTATCTTATACCCTATATAAAACTAAAAGGGGATATAAGCATGTTATTTAACCTCTGCATGGATTACATCACACGAGAGATACAAAAACCCATCCCAGAATGTATGCTCTACGCGGACAACATAGTCCTAATGTCGAAGAATGCAACAAACCTGCAGATATCACTCAATCAATGGGTAAATCAAATAGAGCACCACGGACTGCGTATAAGCTGGAATAAAAACCAAGTATTTAGAATGCGACTACGGAGGGACAGCAGAAACGGGTTGCGAGATTTACATAGACAACCGTGCATTACCCAAAGTGGATAGGCTTCAAATACCTAGGTTCTATACTTACACCGGACGCTAACGTTGACAAAGACGTAGATCACCGCATCAATACTGTCTGGCTTAAATGGAGATTATTGTCGGGAGTACCCTGTGACCGCAGCATGCTCATCAAAGTGAAAGGGAAAGTATACAAAACGGTTATAAGACATGACATGACGTACGGAGCAGAGTGCTGGACCATAAAAAAGGCACACGAACAACAACTGCACGCGAATGAACTCGGAATGCTTAGATGGGCGGGAGGTGTGACCCGACTAGACAGAGTACGAAATGAATACATCAGAGGAACATTTAAGGTAGCACCTATAGCTGAAAAGCTAAAAGAAATCTGAATGCGTTGGTACGGGCATATTAGGCTAAATGATGACCACCCAATACGTATAGTTTTGAATATCCCTGACCGTTCGCGAGGAAGAGGAAGACCACGTGCCACCTGGTGGTCAAACATACAGAAAGAGATCCTGAGAGAAAACCTGAGTACATCGACACGCCAGAGTAGAACTCTCTGGCGCAATCGTACAAAGAGACCCAACCCCAGCTAAACAGGGAAGAGGGTTGAACACAGAAGAGACAATTTAATACCCCTACCTCGAACGTGCGCTCGAAACGTCGTAGGTATAAACATAAGTAAACTAACACCAAAAGCCGTGATATAGCTTAGGCACTCAAATAAAGCAGTGCGTGAGCAATTTTCTTTATTCTTTTAAAAACGTACTTAAGGGGAAAAAAGACTGTTTTAAGCATTTTTGAAATTTTGATTGACACTAAAATATTTAAAATGTGAATGAAATGGACGAAGTATTAACGCTGAAAATCAGTAACATTCATTCCTGTGCAGTAAGTATTGCAGATTAGTGCGATAGCGCGTATATATCTCGGGAGTATGCCATCAAGAATAGGAATTAACTCGTAACAGTGGTATTCGAAGAAGAATACATCCATTTTGTGGTGACTCCGTCCAACGACGTGACTCGAATTTTCGACTATCGATATTTTCTTTCTTTACATGTCCCTGATTTTAATCGCATTTATAACGGGGAATGTTTTAAAGAATTGTTTGGGTTGATTCCAGCCCCCAAGTGAATGTTGAATTCACACAACAACAACATATCATCATCATCATTACAGCGCTTCACAAGTCCACAGCTGAACATAGGCCTCCCCCAAATAATACCACAAGGCATGGGGTGACATTGACAGTACACATGATCTTTGTTTTATCCATATTTGTCTTAAGTCCTATCCGTTGGGCGGCACTATTATGGTCGTTGTAGTGCTTAGGTTTTCCAGCGATTCCGCTCAGTGCCGGTTTTAAGATTACCGGCGCCCTGGGCGAGATTTTTACGGGAACCTTCACTCTACTTACCAATTTAAACATGTAAAAAAATAAAATAAAATAATAGTTTTTTTTTTTTAAATAAAATCGTTTATTTTAATTAAGTACACTTTTTCTAATAAAATTGCACCTTTCTATTGAAAAACTCTTTTATTAAGACATCGAAGCCGATGTCTTGTGCAACGTTATTTTTGAGTGACAAAGTTGCCAAGTTTGTCAACTACTTTCCCCAACCGCTACTTAACGTTACTATATTTATCAGTCTTTAATGAAATTTTAAATATATATAGAGTTTTATCAGCAAAAGGAATTTCAGACTTTTGAGTTCATCACACAACGAATGACTTCTACATCCGATTTCGATCCTATTGTTAATTTTAATTGGAGATCACCACAGAGTTTTAGAAGGTATGGTTTTTCTGGAATCCTTTTTATATATAACAAGAAAGTAAACGGATTTGAATACTTACTTAATTATTCAAATGTGTCACTAAGTATATTGTGTCCAAAATGCAGTTGAAAAATTCGACTTCCAATTCCTTTTGCGGATCAGTTATAGGTTCATCAGTGGCAGCTAAATCTTCACTTGCTTGGTGTTTAATACGTCTTGTA